GGCTATTTCTGTTGTGTTATCGTGTTTGTGCATAGGGGGACTGACACAGATGCGCTTCGCTATCAGCGGTGACCCGGACTCGGACTGTTGGGCTTCGTGACGTGAATGCTCGGTGTGATAGTGGCTCGATCATGTATATAAGCAACCGCCCTTTTTTCCTTCCTGGTTGTAAAACAGTTGGTTGTGTGACTGAATAAACATGTGTTGCACTTAGCCACCGTGCGCTGCCTGCCGGTCTCGCCCCTATTTAGATGAAGATATAATAGTGGCGACGAGGGTGGGACCCGTGTGAATCTGCACTGCCGACAGACGCCAGGCACTTTTGGGAGCGGAAGACTTCAACATGGCAGCGGCTGACAAGTTCGAACCCTTCCTCGAGGACGGAGACGAGGATTTCGAATTGTACATCGAGCGGTTCGAGCACTTCCTTCGGGCGACCCAGGTGAGCGACGACCTCAAAGTTTCGGTGCTGGTTACGGCTATTGGGAAGAAAACCTATCGCACGCTTAAAAATCTACTAGCTCCCGCGAAGCCCGAAGAGAAAGAATATGCGCAACTAATTCAAGCCCTCAAGAAGCATTATGCTCCGGAACTTATGGTCATAGCGGAACGTTTCCGATTCAACCGCCGGATTCAGCAGGACACAAAACTGGTGGCGGGCTTTGCCTTGAAGTTGAAGAGTCTGGCTGCCTCCTGCAATTTCGGGGCATTTTTGGATGAAGCTTTGCGGGACCGTTTCGTTGCCGGGCTGAAAGTTGAGACAACGCAAGCACAGCTTCTGAAGAGGGCCACACTGACGTTTGCAGAAGCGTGCGAACTAACCCGAAGTATTGAATTAGCCCGTTCCGAGACGAAGAAATTCCAGCCGGAGGGGCCAGAACTGGGTGTCCAAGCCGTACAACGGCAAGCTCCGAGTTCAAGGTCGGGACAGCCACGTGGAGACTATATGGAAACCAGAGCAACGAAAGAAACAACTGGTTGGGCTTGCTATCGCTGCGGAGCCACCTCCCACACCAACGAAAGGTGCCCGTTCAGGAAATACTGCTGCCGCGCCTGCAAACGAGTGGGCCACTTGGCAAGAGCGTGCCGATCGTCCGCCAGCACCGCGCACTATGCGGAGGACAGTAGCGGTGAGGACAATATTTTGTTACAGAATGTATTTTCGTGTGACGAAAGTGTCCGAAAGTATACTGTAAACGTACGGGTCGGGGGTCGTAATGTGCCGATGCAGATAGATACGGGCGCGTCTGTTTCTATCGTCCCCGAGACTCTCTATCAGCGACACTGGGCCGGGCGACCGTTGTTGCCGTGTAGAATAAAGCTAAAAGCCTATGGGGGAACGCCGTAAGCGGTTCTGGGAAAGCTGATGATGCCGGTAGAGCACAACAACCAGACAGCGACGCTGCCTCTGATCGTGGTCCGTACGTTGCAAAAGAGTGAGACTGCGTTGCTAGGGCGAGACTGGTTGGAATCTCTTAAATTGGATAGGTTGAGTGTGAGTGGAGTGGGGATCGATCGAGTAGCTAGCTTGCTTGAAAGCTTCTCGAAAGTGTTTGAACCAGAGCTCAAACAGATAACCGATTGTCAAGTAAGCTTGTTGCTCAAGGATGGCACAACACCGGTCTTTTGTGAACCTCGACAGGTGCTGTTCGCACTCCGAGATCCCGTTTGCCAACAATTGAGGGCCTGGCAGAACGCAGGGGTGATTGTTCCCGTCCTAGAAAGCGTTTGGGCCAAGCCACTGGTGGTGGTTCCAAAAGGAGACAAAACGGTCAGGATTTGCGGAGACTACAGAATGACGGTGTATCCCTGCTTGCGCACCGATCATTATCCGCTGCCAGTCACGGAAGATTTGCTTGTAGCTTTGCATGGGTGCAAATATTTCACTGTGCTTGACCTTTCAACCGCGTATCAGCAGCTGCAGTTGCACCCTGACTCGCAGTCTTTGCTCACGATAAATACGCACATGGGGCTGTTTAAGTTTACGCGCCTACCGCATGAGATAACCAGTGCACCCTCGATATTCCAGGCAGTCATGAACGATGTTCTAAGAGGCCTAGATAAAATCGCCTGCTACCTGGATGATGTGTTGATTGCCGGGGAAAGTTTTGAGGAGTGTTGGGAAAAGGTGGAAAGCGTGCTGACAAGGTTCAAGAAACGAGGTTTTAAGTTGCGCAAAGAAAAGTGCAAGTTTTTCTAAACATCGGTGGCGTATCTGGGTCACGTGCTGGACGAAAATGGCATTCGGCCATCCAAGGATAAGGTGCGCGCTATCAAAGACGCGCCGACACCCAAGAACAAGCAGGACCTTCGAGCATATTTGGGTATGCTCAATTTTTATGCCAAATTCGTTCCGAACATGTCAGCAGAGCTAAAACGATTGTACGAGTTGTTGGGCGAAAATGTTAAGTGGCAATGGATGGACAGGGTGGCGGATACCTTTAAGAGATCTAAGGATTGGCTTATGCATCCCAGAGTACTAACATACTACAATCCGGATCAGGAACTGGGTATGGTATGCGACGCCTCGGCATAAGGACTAGGGGCGATTTTATTCCATAAAATCGCGGGAGTCGAAAGACCGATAGCGTTCGCATCGAGGACACTAAGTCAGGCAGAGCAGGGCTACGCCCACCTGGAGAAAGAGGCTCTTGCAGTTATTTTCGGTCTAAAGAAGTTCCACAAATTTTTTTTTGGGTGAAAATTTTCCATTTATTCAGATCACCAACCCCTGGTTGGAATTTTCGGGCATGGCAAGCCAATCCCTACAATGGCAGCAGCACGAATACAGCGGTGGGCCTTAATCCTTGCAGCGTATGACTACCGATGGGTCTACCGAAAGCAAGCAAAATCCAAAATGCCGATGCCCTTTCACGGCTACCGCTCTGAGACAAAGCAGAGGAGTCGGAGGGCGTTTATTTCTTTTCGGTGCTAGACAAGCCTCCATTGTCGGCAAAGGAAATCAGATCGGAAACGCTGTAAACATCGATTGCTGTCCAAAGTGTGTTTTTTATGCAGAACAGGGTGGCCTGTGCATGTGTCAGGACGACGATCTTTCACCATACTTCGTTCGCCGTAACGAACTGTCGGTAGACCAAGAGTGCGTAACATGGGGCAATCGCGTGGTTATACCAGCTTCGTTGCGACAGAAGGTTCTAGAAACGCTGCACGAAGATCACCCAGGGATGATTCGAATGAAAATGCTGTCAAAGAGTCATGTCTGGTGGCCTCGCTTAAGGCTAGACATAGAGAAAGTGGTGAAAGAGTGCATCACTTGTCAGTTGTCACAGAATGCGGCAGCTAGAGTGCCACTAATGTCATGGGGCTGGCCAACGCATAGATGACAGCGAGTTCATCTGGATTTTGCACTAAGGGACCAGCATTACTTTTTCGTCCTAATGGACGCTCATTCGAAGTGGGTTGAGGTGTTTCTCATGACAACAGCAACAAGTGAAAAGAGGATAGAGAAATTGCGAGGTGTTTTTGCGGCCTACGGACTACCAGAGGAGATCGTGACCGACAACAGGCCCCAATTCACATCGCAGCACTTCGGAACATTCCTGAGCAGGAATGGAATTCGTCATTCCAAATTTCCTCCCTATCACCCAGCTTCGAATGATAGCGCCGAACGATGCGTTCAGACCGCCAAGAAGGACTTGTTTAAACAGATACTAGACGAAGAAAGAAAAGGAGACAAGAAGTCCATACAACATTGCATAGACCAATTTCTCTTCAGTTATCGCAACACCCCATCCACCACCACTGGCTGAGACCCCGGCCCAGATCTTCTTGTCATGGCAGCCAAGAACCAGGCTAAGTCTGCTGCACCCTGAAATGGAACAACGCATGCGCGAAAGGGGGGAGCAGGCGAAGCTCCACGCAGACGAGAAACGAGAGTCATGGAGAGACTTTAGGGAAGGCGACCAGGTTTTGGTAAAAGGGCTCCGCCCGGACGACGACAAATGGCTGTTGGGTACAATTGCTCAGCGGTGCAGCGCATGCACGTACATTGTTTGCGTCGAAGACGAGGACCGATACGTTCACGCTGATAACCTGCGATTGTGTACATTTCAGGAGAACCAGAGCTGGCTCAAGGCGGTGGGAACAGTGCTGGACGGGCCGAGAGTGGAAAACAAGGGTCCGCTCTTCAGGGACACTAGAGAGCCCACCTCGACCAGCACGCCTACTCGGCACAACGATCAGGACCAACCAGCATCGAGCTTGACGTCACCAGCAGCTGAATCAGCAGGGCCTTCTACCGAGCCTTCTCCGGGCCTTCTACATGACAGCAGGCCGACGCTCGACAGTGGTCTCCAGAACGGCGACCCCTCGGGACAATCAACACCGCAGCTTCGACGTTCTACCCGGTTTAGACGACCGCCAGACCGTTACGTGCCATGAGACGAAACCTCGTGAGGGGAGAGGAGTGTTGTGTGATCGTGTTTGTGCACAGGGGGGCTGACGCAGACGCGCTTCACTATCAGCGGTGAGCCGGACTCGGAACTGTTGGGCTTCGTGACTTCAATGCTCTGGTGTGATAGTGGCTCGATCATGTATATAAGCAACCACTCCTTTTTCCTTCCTGGTTGTAAAACAGTTAGTTGGGTGACCGAATAAACATGTGTTGTACTTAGCCACCGTGTGCTGCCTGCCGGTCTCGCCCCTGTTTAGACGAAAATATAATAATTTCTACTTTTTCAAGAGTTTGTAATATTAAGCACTGGGGTTCTATGTCACAAAACCACGATTTAACTACAAGGGACTGCGAAAATATCGACCGCATGGCGTTACTTAACGTCCACCTAAATATAAGTACCCGGGCCTCGAGCCTTGTGACCTCCATCAATATTGCAGCCGCCACAGGCCGGGGTTGGATCCCGCAACCTTCAGGTCAGCTATCAGGCAAGGCGTCTTTTCAAACAGTGGTCAATCCATACGATATAGCATATCCCCTCGCAAAATAACTATCACGTTCCTCGTGCGTCGTCGGAGGCACTCACTTGTCCCAGCAGGCAAATGTTGCTCGTTGCGTTGAGATGCCCAGGGCTTTCACCGAGCTGGCCGACACAGAAGAACCTGCACACAGACATCGTCCATGAGAACATATTGGCGCACGCATCATTTCTTTTACGCTCAGACTATTTACGGAATTTGCTTACAGGCGTGCACAAAGCGCGACCGCAATTATCACGCCTTTCGGCCAATTCAAATTCCTTTTCATGAGTTTTGGTCTCCGCAACGCGGGGCAAACCTTTCAACAATTCATCGACGATGTCGTCCGCCGCCTGGACTTCTGTTTCGACTACCTAGACGACATCTTCATTTACTCCTGCAACGAAATGGAACATCGCCAACATCTTCGTTAACTGTTCCAGCATCTCGACGAACACGGCTTACTCATAAACGTTCAAAAGAGCACGCTCGGCGCCCCCCGTCGTCACGTTTCTTGGCCATGAAATCTCTTCAGAAGGAACTAGACCCTTGCCTAGCCGCATCCTGGCCCTTCAAAATTACTTGCTGCCTGCCACAGCGAAAGACCTCCGCCATTTCCTGGGCATGTTCAACTTTTACAGGCGCTTCGTGCCTAAAGCGACCACATATCAAGCCCCTCTCCATGATCCGTTGGCCAGCCAACGCGGCAATCATCCTGTCACTTGGACCCCAGCCTTAACGCAAGCGTTCGAAGACTGTGCAAAACTGCCCTCTGCAACGCTACGCTCCTCCCCTATCCCAAGCCAGAGGCGCTCCCGGGTCTTTTCACAGATGCCTCTAGCACCACCGTCGGAGCCGCTCACATGCAGCGTGTGGGCAACAACTGGCGCCCCTTGGCGTTCTTCTCGAGGAAACTCTCTTCCCCGAAGCCACCCTCGCCTTCTGGCAGCATCTACGATGCAACGTCACCACCTGCGGAGACGACCCGGCCAGCCTACTAAAGAGAGCTCCTTGCCGTCTACGAAGCAGTCCAACACTTTCGCCACATCCTCGAGGCACAGCACTGCACCATATACACCGACCATAAACCTATCACTTACGCCTTCTCCTAACGCCGGGAAAAACTTCCACCAGTCCAGCAGAACCAGCTGTCCTTCATCACTCAATTCACCACAGATATCCACCACATCAGCGGAAAGGAAAACGCGGTCGCCGACGCACTGTCTCGCGTCTCGGCTCTCGGGCTACCAACCGTTACAACTGACGCCCTCGCCGAAGCTCAGAAAACGGACACCGAACTCCAGCAGCTTCTCGAGAAGGGCTCTTCCCTTCAACTGCAAAAAGTTACCATCGCTGGGTCAACGGACGCTCTCTACTGTGAAATATCAACAGGACAAGCGAGACCATACGTCCCTTCTTTGCATCGCCAAAGCCTCTTCAACCAGTTACACAACCTCAGTCATCGCGGCATCCGAGTTTCTACACGCCTCGTGACTGACTGGTATGCGTGGCCCTCAATGCAATGGGACTGCCGCACCTGGGCACGCACATGCATTCATTGCCAGCGCGCCAAAATCACCCGGCACGTCCCGTCGCCACTCGTAGAATACCCCCTCCCGACGGAACAGTTCCAGCACGTCCACATCGACATCATTGGCCCCCTCCCACCAGCCGGCCCTTACCGCTATTGCCTCACCGCCATCGATCGTTACACTCGTTGGCTCGAGGTGTGGCTGCTCGAAAAGATCACCACAGAAGACGTCGCATCAGCCTTCTTCTCCGGCTGTGTTTCACGCTTCGGCACTCCTCATAGAGTCACAACCGATCAAGGAAGGCAATTCGAATGTCAACTCTTTAGGCTCCTCGGGCTCTCCACCAGGTTCGAGCGTTCACGGACAACTAGCTACCACCCTTGCGCCAACGGGATGATTGAACGGTTTCACCGGCAGTTCAAGGCAGCCATCATGTGCCACCCTCACTCAACCTGACTCGAAGCTTTCCCCGCCGTCACTCTCGGTCTGCATGCAAATTTCAAGCCAGACATTCAAGTCACGCCCGCGGAATTCGTCTACGGGGAGCCGCTTCGCCTACCTGGAGAACTCCTCTCTGCTCCGACCTCTGATGTAACCAGCTCGAACCCTGCAGACTTCGTCGCTCGACTCCGTCGCACAATGGGCGCGCTGCGCCCCTCACCAGCGCCTCGCCACACCAAGCCAACCCCGTTCGTGTTTAAGAACCTAGCAACATGCTCGCATGCCTTCCTCCGCGATGACACCGTTCGCACACCTTTCCAGCTGCCTTACTCCGGAACTTACAAAGTCATCTGTCGCGACGACAAAACATTCACCCTGCAAATCAGTGGAAAGGATGTACGCATTTCCATCGTCCGCCTAAAGCCATCATACATCCTTTCCCAGGAGCCTACTAACCCACGCACGCCTCCCGTAATTCGCCGACAAAAGCCCGCAACGCCTAGGCTCGCACCCAACACACCCACCTTGGACGCCAGGTGCGGGTCCCCAAACCTCTTCAACCCTGATGGCTCCTATCTGCGTAGGGGGTGGTGTGGCGAAACGGTTCGACGCCGCTTCTACGCCTGCGCGTAGCGGCAATGCCTCTAAACAGGGCACCGGCGACAAGAACACTCTCACCCGAAAGAAGCAAGAAAACTGTGTGTGCGCCCCGATTGAGGGGCAGTTGTAGTAGAACCTTCAGTACGGAAACATCAAAGTTATGTTATCCCACAAGTGTTATCGTGAAAGTGACATGCTGCGACTTCAGTAATGATAAATCGATCGCAGAGAGCAACTTGAAACACCTGTAGACCAAAGGTGTTTGTGCAGCCAGGTGTGTCATACAGCTTTATGTTGACCAATCTCAGTTGCTGGTCACAAATTTCAGCAAAAAACACCGCCACCTATTCCGCGGCACTTCAATTGCGTTTGGAGAGGAAATAATAGCTAAAATTCGGAACTGCTTCACATCTGAAATAGCGGAGACGGCAGATACGCCACTCGATACTGTCGGTATAAGCCCTGAACTGTCTCCTGATAACCAGACAGCATTGCAGAAGCTCTTGCTTCAATTCCGGTCATGATTGGCCAGTTTTTCGAGGCTACATCAAATTTCCATCACCTGGCACAGGATCATCACTTACAACAACGCACGCCCGATACAACAGCAGCCTTATCGCATGTCAACAAAAGAACGCAAAACGATTCGTACGCATGTTTCAGAGATGCTCAACGATGGCATTATTCACAGTACTACAGGTCGAAATATTGTTACGGGGCTGGTGACTACTGTACAAGATGCATTTATTGAGAGAAACCACAGGCAAGAGTCACAATGGCTGATTGGCACACACGTGCGCCTATCAGCTGCTTCTGCCCTTCGTCTTCCTTTACTTCATCTCCGTAACAAGACCCCCGGGCGTTGAAGCGCCGTCTCAGCGAAAGTCCGGAGAAGTGCGAGAGAAGTAGGGTTTCAGGTGCGAAACATGGACAATGTCAACAAGTGACGAACTTGGTGACGTATGGCGCTATATCGGTGGTGCAATTGCACTATCTCGTAGTTGACGTCGCTGAAGTGACTTGAAAAAGGAAAAGAAGGGAGAAATAAGCACAGTTCCATTACTGCCTCTCTCAAACGAGGGCACCTCTACAGTTCTGCGCAGGGCATGGGGGAATTGGAATTAAAGGAATAGAAGAAAAGAGGCAAGAGAACGGTAGTGGGGAAAAACGCGCATTCGAAGTGCGAGTTGCGCGCGCGCAAGGAGGCTCGTATGCCACACAAGTCGACTGAGATTAACACAAAGAAGGCCCGGGGTACAGTGATGTGCACGTTTTAACACAGGCCAGGGAAGAACTCACAAAGTGCAGTCGGTTCGTCCATGGAGAGGCCAAACAGATAAACCATGGACTCGAAGGTGAGCAGGGGCACAACACAAAAATTGCATTCGTGGGAACCAACTGGGAGGGCCCTGAGCGTCATTCGAAGTCCCGAAGCAAGCCCAGTCAAGATGTCATTCCTTGTTTTGATGTCAGGTTGCTGCGAAATCGAGGTAGCGGGCTCAGTCATCGTGCTTTTGGGGATGGCGACAGCAACCGGCGGTTGTGAAAAAACGCGCGGTGTCTGCGTCACCGTCGAGCGCTTTGGACGACAGTAGGGGCCGGCTGAGTTGTGCCTCCGAGGTCATGTCGCCGGTACTGGCGAGCGCATCTTGGAAGGAGTGTCTTTGATGATTGAGGGATTGATGATTGCTGCCAGGGATCCTAGTGTGCTGCAGGTTTCGGCGGTGAGTCACGGTGCCATCGGTTGAGGCCATGATGACCGCGGCCTTGCAAAGAAGCTGCCAGACTGGACAGCACGGCTCGGTTGCAGGATGTTTCGCACGACAGTTTATGCAGCGAGGGTGTGCTGCACACGATCCAGGAGCATGCTTGATGCCGCAGCGCAGGCACCGCTCATCTCGAGAGCAGGTGGCGGTTGCGTGCCCGAAGCGGCCGTAACGGGAGCACTGCCAGGGCTGGGGCTGGCAGGGTCGAACAGAGCGCCTTTGCTTGTAAAGCAGTATATCCAGCGAGACAGTAGTTCCAGCGAAGGTGAGGGTCAGGTAGTTACCTGTGCGTACACCGGAGACTAGGAGCACTGGTGAAGCAATGTTGTTGGCGAGGCCCTCAAAGGGGATCGTTGGGTCCACTCCAAAAACCATGCCAACACAGGTGTTCAGGTCAAGTTGTTTGGCTCGAACCTTGGTCTCGCAGATCGTCCTAAACTGGAGTAGGACGGTCAGATCGGCATTAGAGTGGGTGTCGACAGCAATGAGGTTGCACCACAAATTGACCCCCACTCCCTGGATGGCCGGAAACCCTGAAAGGAAGGCGGCGAGCGCACCCTCGACGCAGCCAGGAAGTTCGACTTCTTCCCGACGGGCCGAAAGACGATGGTGGCCGCACAATCACTCGGAGGAAGGTCGCCAACAACGTGGGGACCATCGGAACGCGGAAACGTGCTTGGGGGCATGCCGCGCTCACTGGGGGCAAACGCCGTTTGCTCGGCGGCTGCAGTAGTTGAAGGACGAGATGAGGAGGGGTTGCTGCCAGGGGGGTATCTCTCGCAGATAGCCACGGCCATGGCAGGAG